GTTTATAGAATTGTAGTCAAAAATTCTTCTGTTCACTTTGAATTTTTTTGGTAAGTTAGCATAAAGAAATAACTATATAGATACAAGTATTATATGATCACTTTGTGTAGATGTTAGTAGATCCTCTAAGTAGAACTTTTAGAGATATAGTATTATAGATTTATAGCACTATATATAATCAATTCTGGTATTTAATTAGTTATTATACCAGATATAAGATATGTTTAATGTATAGTTTACAAAATTATATAGGTTGTTGCATGTGAGAAAGTTAATGAGTTTGGATTTCTGGTTTGTTAAGTTTGTTGTGGAGATATCAATATTGAAGTCACCAAGTACTATTAGATAGAATTATTTATTGAGTACTTACTGTATCTATTGGCTGACTTTGTTTTGTATAGAGTTTTTGTTTTTTTTTTTGTTGTTATTAAGGCAGCTTATATTGCTGAAGGAATTTTATTAGAATTGTCAACAGGATTATATATTAATAATCCTACTGTTTGTAATTATATGAAGAGTATACAACAAGCCATATATACAACTTTAGTTATTATCTATTTTAAGTAGTTCGCCACATAGGTATTAGGCTATCTGATTGGTTCTACACTATGCTGCCATATCTATAACCTACCTGTGAATTACCTATTTAAATACTCTATTCATTAACCTATACAGATCCAATCTAATGTCATCACAACACCTAACTGCTTAAGCCAGCTAGCTTGTTATAGATCTATTTATCCAAATAGCTTAGATCCTCTCAGAATATATTGTACTAGATGTATTGCTAGTACTACAAAGCCAGTTAACCTCAAAGCAAATCTACTAGAGCAGTCTGTATCCATTTTACAAATTCATCTAGCTTAGACCCTTGTAGATATTCATATAACCCTAGGTTCTACTATAGTCTTCTACTAGTCAGTTAACCTAGTTCTTTTCTAGTATCTAGCTAGTTCCAGTTACACTTCACCCAGAGACCTCGAAGCCTTCTACCTTTATTAGACTAAGTTTTCTTCCTAGATCAGACTTTAGCAGATGTAGTCCTGTTGAAAGGCTGTACTACTTCACTAACTTGAGATTTCTTCCATGCAGGTCTCCTGCCTGTATATCCTATCAAGATTTATTCATGTAATATTATGCTATATTTTCAAGTTCCAATCGATTTGGTATAACTTAATTTATAGAGATATGTCTTCAGAAATGAACAGGATTTATTGTAATATATCACAAGGTCTAAGAAATTATTCAAATTCATTGATAGTAGGATTTGAACTCCAGATCTATTGCATGGCAGTTTGACAATCTAACCACTATACTAGTTCCCAGACCTCATGTAGAGTTTTTGTGAGAGATATCAGTAGAGGATAGATAGACTGAAATTATTCTAAATTTGAAATCATGTTTGAAGAAAAGGTTAATAGAAATTGTACTCCTTCATGCTTAAGAATTTTATAAATATATAGTGTTAAATAGTTTGAGAATATAATTTTAGTTCCTTCTATAGAAGAAGTAGAATTTGATAGATGGTATATGAAGTATTTTGTGTTAAAAAATTTTGATTTAGAATTAGTAAGCTTAGTTTCTGTTAAGCTAATAATATTATAATTATAAGAAAGATAGAAATTTCTTATAGTTGTTTTTTAAGAGTATTATTATATTCTTTAACATTATGAGTTATAATATTAAATAAAAGTAAATTATTAGTATTATTAGTATTAATATTAGAAACTGTTTGTAAAGTGAAATTAATTGTATTAATTTGAATAGGTAAGTAGTAATATTTAAAAAATTAGGTTGGTTCAAGAATTTGATAGTTTTTAAGTATAGATTCATTTAAGTTAAGGTAAATATGAGTTTTAATAAATGTTTGATTTATAGAAATAAGGATTAAATATAGAAAGAAAGTAAATAAGAAAAGAGCCTAATGTTTTATTTTTTTTTGAGTAATAGTAAGTTGTGTTGTAAGAGGAAGAGATTATAACAGATATTGATTTTGTTATAAGTTAAAGTTCTATTAAAGCTAATTATCTATGTAGCAGACTACTTAAAATAAACAATGACTAAAGTTATATATATAGCTTGTTGTATACTTTTCATTTAATTACAAACAGTAAGGATTATTAATATATATTTCATATACAATTCTAATAAAATTTTTTCAACAATGTAAGCCACCTTAATAACAAAAAAAAAAAAGTTCTATTAGAGTAATTATATAAATTAGTATTTGATAATTTATATGCATTAGATGATTTAGATTATATTGGTAAATACATATAGGTATTTAAATCTTCTAAGGCACTTGCTATATTTTCAGCTCTTACAGATAAGGAAGATACTAGAGTTTGCTCTGTATATTAAGTTTAACTGTTATAAACTTGGTCTTTCATGTAAATAGACTTTACTACTCACCTACTTATATCATTCTCCTTACTAACTATAGTGGATATATCTTTCAGTAAGGTGGTAGCTGCATTCATGTATATAGAAGATTCTATTGTTAAAAAAAATCTTCTAAGAAGAAAAGGAAATCTTCTAACAGAGAAGGTTCTGTAAATATAATATTAAATTTTTAAAGAGAAAGTTTTCTGCTTCAGGAAGAGCTTCTTCTTTATAATGTTTAATATTTTGTTGTAGAATAAATTGTTCCTCTTTAATCATATCAAAATAGATAATTATTTATACTAAGAAATGAGTATCAATCATTTTGGAGTAATATATTCAATTTCTTTCTCTTTTATGAAGTTATAGATATTGTAGTTTTTAGTAGCTGTATAGTAATAGAAATTTAAGTATTAGTAGAAATAGTAACTTTGATGTTTTTGAAATTTTATTGTCTTGTTTTATTTATAGATAAAATCTTTAGCTTGATTAGCAAGTTTATCAATTAATTTTAGAAGGATTAGCTTTAAAAAATCAGTTTCATATTTTTTTTCAATTTCAAAGACAGAAAAGTCAAATATAGGTAGTTTCTAAATTTCATTATCTTTTTAAGATATGTAGTATAGGATTGTTTAAGAATTAGTTTAAACAAGTTGGAGAAGTTATGTTTGTTTTCTTTGATATGAGAGCATTTTTTAGAGTCATAATTGAATATGTAGAAATTTACAAGCTAAATATATTTAGTTTATCTTTTAGAGTAATTATTAGATTCTTGAATATTTGTTTTAGTAAGAAAGAATTTTTTAAGTTAGATGATGAATTGTTGTCTAATTCTGTCCTTTAAAGCATTATAGACTTTTTGTTAGTTTAAAGGCTCAGCAAATTAATGATTATATATAAGAAAGAAGTTTGTAAACTATTTATTGAAGTGCTTAAGAGAGTTTTTGAGAGATATGATATTGTAGACTTCTAAAAAAGTAGATTTTGGTATAATGAAAAGAAGTTGAATATTAAATTTTTTATCAGATTTGATAATTAGATATTTTTTTTTCTTGTTAGTAGTTACTGTAGAAGAGTTAATAGTAAAATATTTAGAGTAAAAATTAAAATAATTAGCAAATTTTTTGTAATTAATTATATGATAATTATCTGATAGATAAAGATAAATACGAGCTAAGTTAATACAAAATTGCATTTGGTTTTTGGTTTTGTTAGGAAGAATTGTTAGAGGAGAAGCAAAAATAGAACTATAGTTAAGTTTAGTAAATAAAATAGTTGTAAATTTGTGGATAAGTTTTTTGAAAATATTTTTGAGTATATTAAATAAAATAGTTGTATTAAGATCAATGTTAGGATTACTTTAAAAGATAAAGTCAGTTAAAAATTTTAGTTAAGATCTGGTCATTATATGAATAAGTTGTTTGAAGGTTGCTTTTGAAACCTTTTGAGTTAGAGTAGTAGCCTTGATTTCTTTTTTAAAATAGAAGTTATATAAGTAGTTTTTGAGGAAATTGAATAAATTATGTGAAAGAGTAGTTTGAAGTTTAGTGTTTGCTTCCATATTTTTAGTGATTGAATAATTTTTAATTCAACCAAAAGTTGGAGATAGTTTGGTAGATTTTTCTTTAGTAATTTTATTAGTTTCTATTTGATTAGGTTGTTTATCATTTTTATCTTCAATTATTGTTTCAGAGATATTATTCTTTGATTAGTTTGAGATTAATTTAAATATAGTAGGTTTTGGAAAAATAGTTTTGAAGAGTATAATTTTTTCTTTAGAAGTCATCTTAGCTATTTTCATAGCTATGAGAACAGATTTTTGTTTTAATATAAGAAGAGAAGTTTGAGATTTAATTGTAAGTTTAATATCCCAAAGTTTAGGAATATAGTTGTGATATAAAAGATAATTTTTAAAGATTATGCACTGAGTATAGTCAGGTATATGTTTGGTATCAATAAGGTAGATATATAGGATAGAATTTATTTGCAGCAAAAACAAGTATAGTGATATTAAAGATATCACCCCGGTATTAATCAGTTAATCGATCCCATTAAATTAATCACTCGCTCTGATTAATTGATTTCCGTAACCACGTGCATATAATCGATATACAACGATTAAACTCTATAAAATCCGTCCATATAACCCACCCAAGTTAACTATTGGAGCTAAACCCGGCACTATTTTTATAACGCTCTCCCAAAACAATAGTAACACTATAAACAGACTAAACAAGAATCTACAAACTAAAAATAGGACATCGTACTACGTCAGAGCGCAGTATTTCCAGAGGGTCAAATTGGCCCTTTACACCGTATCATTTCACCGACAGCTTCATTTAGCTGACATCACGCCAAGTGACAATTTACTAAAAATATATACCTGAAACTAATAAAACCCTAACCCTAACCCCATGTGATGTCACCTAAATGAACTTTCGGTGAAATGACTGTCGGTGAGGTGAGCGGCACCGATTTGGGGGGTGGGAGGCTATTAAATTGTCGCGTAAGTAGCTAACAGCTCGATTTTACACGTCTGATAACCTGCGTTTTTTTTTTGCGTTGATTAATATTTTTTTAAAGAAACAATATTTTTGCCTAAAACCATTTTTGAAAAAATGTCTTCGTCTTCGTCTTTACCTTCGGCCACAACAAATTTAACAGAGATAAAAGCCCTTGAAATTTTTGACGGATGGAAGGACCCATTTACCAAATATTTTGAGGTGACGCCCTGTGAAAATTGGTCCCCTGAACATTACGTGAACTGGATCATTGAGTATTTAGAACAAAAAAGAGTAAGGAGAAATTTTTACAGGGCAGTGAGAGCGATAAATAACCATGAAGATATTTCTTCAAGAATTAAAGTGGTTACCAATGATCTTTTGGAAAACCAAAAGGTAAGATATTAAATGTTTTTAAAAAAACATATGAAATAATGTATACATATATAATTTTCAACATAGCATTTCTCCGAAAAAAATTATCGGCAATTAGCATAAGACATTTCGAACAGTAATATTTCTCGATAGTAATAATTTTTTTGACGAGAATAGTTTCAGAAAATTGTATCGGAAAAATTATTCACAAGAATATATAATAATTTCACGGTGGATCGCAGCCTAGATAATTAAGTTTGTTCAATTTAGAGTTAGAATTAACCTTATTAGAGTTGAAAGTCGGAGAGATAGCCGTTGGTGAAAGGGAGTGAAACCTTATTACACATAATCTTAAATTTTAACACCTTTTTTGTTTGAAAAAGTCGACTGAAGAAGTATGGACAAATCTGCCGAATACTGAAAAGAAGCGGGGCAGAAGTGAAGAAGATGAAGTGGGAACCTCCAAGAGAAGGAAAGTGACCGACTCTGAAAGGGACCGTGAGTAAAGACATTTATAATGTATTTACATCTTGCTTATGCTTAAATTTATTTTTTTTATTTTCTTTTTTATTTATCTAGTCGTAAGTCAAGAGGAGGTGTTGTCCTATATTCCTCCTCTAATTGAATTTTCTCCCGATGCTTCCGCATCAAAGGTGACCACATCGGCGACCGGGAAGCCGCCAAAGGAGGTTAAACTTTGGGAGGGGTTCTTTGAGGAGGTAGACGGATATACCTTCGACCAAGAGAAGAGAGAATTCGATGTTCCCGAATTTTCTTATCAGCGCCCATTCCACAAGGAAAAATCCGTTTGTACAGCCTTCGAAGTGAACGTCAATACTGTACTAAACGAGGTAATGGGCGCTGATTACGACTTTTCAGATCGGTCTCCCTACGTTGCGGACCCGGACTTCACATGCTACTACAAGGGAGAGTTAATCCTAGTAATCGAGATCAAGAGAAGTCATATTCTCGAAGATCTCGGTGAACGGACTTTTCCTGAGTACTACGCCGACGACGAAAAGGGGAGGGCTGTCGTAAGGCAGATTTACGGTTATATGGCTAGAAATAATCTAGCCTACGGGATGCTCTCCACGTATGATCACTTTTGGTTTCTTTATCGACCTTATGAAGAACCAGAAGTGATCTACATTTCGGAAACACTGTCGTTGGAATCGGGATCGCCAACAGTCCTAAAAGCATGTGCGTATTTGGCTTTAAAAGCCAAATCGGACTTATAATTTTCTCTTGAGGAACGACGATTGCCGTTGGATCTCGCTCTCCAATCTTTGTAGAAAACAAAAATCCGAAGAAAACAATCCTGTCCAGGTTCCGGTGTCCTGGCTCTACAAAAATTTTCGGTTTCACCCTTTTCAAAGTTAACAAACATTCACAACATTTTCCACACTGTTCCGCAATATTTTCAGCAACATATTTCTTCTCCTATTTTCTTACCACATGACAATAACAGTACTATGTGTCAAAACTCCAATCCTCCTCCATTTTCACAGCCTCAGTCTGTTCCCAATCAACATCCAACTTTCCATCGCAACGTATAAATAACATGGCTGTTAATTGTACATAAAGTTTGAAGCTGTCGTACTAGTTCTAGTCCGGAATGGATGCGTAGTCCAACGGTCATAAAATATCCTTTAAAAAATACCTATAAGTTTTACTTTTGTCTCAAAACTTTTTTTAATATCTGTTACACAATTCCTTACTAAATTAGTATAAAATTGCAACTGTTACATAAATTTTATATTATCAAATCTGTTCTTATTAATTTGGTACAAAATTCATCTTATATAAAAGATTTGTAATTTGATTACAAATCTTGTTAACTAATTTTAGTTTCTAAAAATATATATTTCTATTTTTATTT